CGGAGTCCGCCCGAAGGAGGACCTGGGAGGTCAGTTGCTGTCCCGCAGCGCCGAAGGCTCGTTCGCCTCCGCAGCCATTCAGCAACAGTCGCATAATCTCCACATTGCCCTTCACCGCCTGTCCTGTGCCCCAACGACCTAGTGAGTACCAGCAAGCGCTTGCCGTCTCGGGATCACACGGGAGTACCGTTACCGTACGATTGTAAGCGGGGTACCGCGCCACTTGAACCGAGAACTTGAGCCAGGTCGGGTTCTGTTTGCAGCGTAGTGCTTGACCAATCTCCACATCTTCGATCTCGACTGCATAGTGCAGCCGGGTGTGAAGCGAATTGAGCGCGTTCGTAATAAATTCTGCCGTAGGGGGCGGCTCATCCCTAGACCACAGGTGATCGGCCGCGTGGGTGTAGAACAGGGCGGGATTGGCCACGTTGTCCACCGAGAAGCTCGACCAGCCGTCTGCGAGCGCCGCTCCTGTGCCTTGCTCCATCTTCGCGTATTAATTTTTCTTGGCAACAAAACTTGGCTTTCTTTTCGATTTTATTTGTATTTATTTCTTTTTGTTTTGCTTTGGCCCAAGATTCGTCAGTACAACTCAACACGCACACTAGCAAGATGCGAGCCGCGTTGGTCAAGCGAAGCACCTCCCGCCTGCACCCCCTGACCAGGTACCTCCCACTTTCCTCCTCCTCCTCATCGACGGCACCCAATTTGATTATTTTATCGGCTGTGGCTCGCGTGGTCGCAGGGGGCCTTGCGCGAGCTCGCTGCGCTGGTTTGGGACAGCAAAGAAGGAGACTGCAAAGGCCACGACCGCGCACGCTTCAACGCCGCTGGAAGCGTCGAACCTGCCAGACCCGCGAGCGTTCGCGCAGGAGAAGGCCTTCTGGGCCACGCAGGAACCGCTTAAGCAGAAGCGCCTCCAGGCCAAGGAGAAGGGCGAGGCAGGTCTTCCTTTCTCCCATCACTGCCCAATCCTCTCGGTACACACGATGATGACGCTGGTGCCTGTGCTGTGTGCAGCCGCACTTTGTGTTCCTTGAGGGTTCGGGTGGTGCTGGCAAGAAGGATCTCCTGTGGCGCTTGAACAAGATGGGCCACGAAGTCGTCTTCCATCCCTACCTCGCCTTCCTTCTTGACGTACGTCGCGTACTCCTCACGTTCGCGAATGGGACCAGTTTCGTGTTTTTACAGCGCGTGCATTGCATCCCAATGCAGAGCCAGTACCCCTACTCGCCCACGCGGGACCACGACATCTTGCAGGTGCGGTGGGGCAACAAGATCATCACTGCCTTGGAAAACATCGCCTCGCTGTCCAAGGTAACGAACGCATCAGTGCCGCGCGCCACCGATGATGATCATTCGCTTCTTACGCGTTCCTTCCTCTCTGCTCTGCTCTGCTCTGCTCTGCTCTGCTCTGCTCTGCTCTGCTCTGCTCTGCTCTGCTCTGCTCTGCTCTGCTTCGCTCTGCTTCAGACCGGCAAGGCGTACAAGAGCAACCTGGTGTTCGTGCATCGAAGTCCCATTTCATCCTACCACTATGCCCGCGATAGGAATCCTGACGAGGCCGCGCTCTACCTCTCCCTCATGCGCCAGATCACAACAGTACACGCACCTCCCTTGTCGGTTGGTTGGTTATGGGTTGGTCAAGGATTTGAGCTTAAGGAGCCCTCTCTTCGCGCACACTGCAGGCGTTCTCTTCATCAGTGGTGTTATGTAAGGCCGACCCCCTGCGAGTCCAGGAGCGTCTGGGCGAGCGTCTCATGGTACCTCCCGAGAAGGAGAAGGCCCTGCGGCGGGAGTTGGGCGAGTCGACCGACCTGGACGTCATCCAGCGCGAGATCGACGCCTACGAGCGACTGCTTCTGACCCCACCTTCTACTGAGCGAGAGCACCACGGCATCGGCGCCACGGTGGTGCACACGACGTCGTCCAAGCAGGCCACCGCCCAGATCCTCAAGACCTACGGCGTAGAGATGAACTGGGTGTGGGAGGACCTCAAGAAGACCTCCTCCCCTCCAGCCCACTAAAGCTGGCCAACAGGAAGACAAGCCTTCTTGCCTTGCCTGACGCGGCTCTCGGCGCGATGCATTTCTTTTTCTTTTCTTTTTCGGACAAAGACGAAGCGAAGGCAGCAGCTTTTGTTTGGTCATCTTTCGTACCTGCGACGTCCCTGGCCTCTGCTTGTCCAATCCGCCCCTCCTCGCCGACAAGAACGGTTGCGATACCAAACCAGCTCATCTGGCAGTGGGTAATCTAGATATCCTGCATCCCTCATTTTATCATCACAATTTGTGTTAATTTTTCGTGATTAAGATTTATTTGGTGTAGATGCTGATGTGCGAATCCCCTCTCGTTCTTTGCCATCAGAAATCGGAACAAATTTGAGTAGATCGGGAGTTTCCGATGGAGCTATCAATGAAGAACGAAGAGGTGCCCACTGCGGCTGACGGCACAATCGAGAACAAGGTCCTTGACAAGCAGCAAGATGACGAAGAGGCGAAGATGAAGAAGATGACCGATGCCGTGCGCACGTTGATCGAGTGCGTGGGCGAGGACCCTTCCCGCGAGGGCCTCGTCAAGACGCCGCTGCGCATGGCCAAGGCCCTCCAGTTCTTCACCAAGGGCTACCACGAGAACCTCGAGACCATCGTGGGCGGCGCCGTGTTCGAGGAGAATCACGAGGACATGGTCATCGTGCGCGACATCGACCTCTTCTCGCTGTGCGAGCACCACATGATCCCCTTCTACGGCAAGGTGCACATCGGCTACATCCCCAACAAGAAGGTGCTCGGCCTC